CTCTGTTGTGAAAAACATATCAAAAGTATTAAGAATAAAAATTAAACAAGTCTAGAATCGAGGTATCGTCACTCTCAACAAAAAGGAAAACAGTAAAGCATAAAATTAATTTTTTTGATTTAAAAAAGCCAGGGTTCAGTTCCTAGCTCTGCCACTTCCAGACTCAGCCTTTTTCCTCATTTACAAAGTAGGCATAAGACCTATCTCAGAGGTTTTTTGCATGAATTGAGATAACATATTTGAAAACTCTCCATAACTATCAAATATTTCTCTTCTTGGCTAGCATAGCCAGAGTTCCTACAGAAAATGTTTTGTACACAGCCAAAGACTCTAAAACATGTATAAGCCCTACATGTAAGAACAGACCCTGAGATCAAGAGAATCCTCACCTTGAATGTCAGGATAAAGGGCCATGAAAAGAATTGCCCACCGTAGCACATTAGTTGTTGTTTCAGTTCCAGCAATGATGAGCTCACCCACTGAGAAAATCAGGTTTTCTTTGGAGAAAGTAGATGATGGGTTATTTTTACCTTGATCCATCTCATCTAAATAAGCATCAACAAAATGCTGAGGTAACTGAGGCTTTCTGTTGACTGAAGCTTTCTCAATAAGTCTAGAGAGAAAATCATAGACTACAGCTGCATTCCTAAACAGCTGTTGATGTTTTCCAAAAGGTAAGATGCCAATCCATGGAAAGGCATTATACAGGAAGACGGAGGCACTAGCAGCTAATTCCACATTTTCACTAAATAACTTGATCATGTGCTGAAAATCAGTGTCTTCATAAGTGAATCGTTGTCCAAAAATTATCAGATTGGTTATGTTTGAAACAGCATTTGTTATTAATTGTTTAAAGTCAAAAGGTCTACCTTTGTATGTTTCAATAGCATCAATGAAAAAATTGGTTTCTTCTAAGATTTTAGATTCAAAAGACTTTTGTCCATATCCAAAATAGCGAAAGCTATTTACGACTAATCTTCTGTGATCGACCCATCCTCGGCCATATCTGGAATTGAGTAAGCCTGAAAAAAAAAGTATTAAAAATATAGTATAATTCGTACTGCCCTATATCTGGCAGCTGAAAATGAAAATACTATGGAGTAAAAAAATTTTTCCAAATTGTTAGTCTGTTCTTCCCCAAATCATCCTTCCATATTAGTAGACGGTTGGGTCCTGTTCTCTGCTACTTATTAGCCATAGAATATTATTATAAAAGATAAAGCTTATCTACTCTTCACCTGGGAACTAGTAGATAAGACCTATAATTCTCTCACCACAAGAAACCAGCCAGTCTTCAACCTGGGTGGAATAAGCCCAGGTGACTTTATTATTCAACTTTTACTAGATGCCCAATGTATAAAAGACAAATGACTGCATGTTCTATGGGCAAAGTTTTATCTTGGACTAAATAAACACCTGAAAATCATCCTTCTATGATTAGAACTTTTCTGTTTAAAAGAGAATCAATTTTAGAACACAAATTTCTTCCTGTTAAAGGCATATGATACACAACAAGGTAACTAAAGGAGAAGCTAGGGTAGCCTGAATGAGTTGTCAGTGTACTAGAGTTGCACAAGTCAAGAGAAGGGCAAAC